AGTGCCGCTCAAGGGCGCCGCCATTGTTGTTTTACCATGAACTGTGGTAGTTATCCGAGGTAGTCCGAATGTTGTGTTATATAGATTCGTACTCAAAAATATTCGAATTTTCGTACTCATATTTATCGCGCTTATCGGACAATTTTTTTTGCATCGGGGGAAAAAAAGTGGAAATTTCAGTTTTATTTTTTTTCCAATTTACAAATATTTCGGGTCGCCGGTTTAGTAAACCAAGAAATATAAAAGAAGTGGCCTAAATGCTATTAAAACAATATTTACCATAAGGTAATGATAATATTACACAAATTGAAAAACAGATGAAAACATTTAAAGATAATTTCTTATTTATCTATATGCACAGGGATTTCTGATTTACTCAATGTGAATAAAGTATACATTGTTGAGTTCAATACTGATTCTATTGGACTCTACACTGCTGAAAACCCTCTATTGGATTTGGTTAAAACCCTAACCAGTACTTGTCTGATGGTTTATATATTAATCTTGTCCAATAGTTTGTATGTTAATCTGATGTTTATCACTTCAGACAAATTGTCATTTTATAGCAGTAAGGGATTCAAGCATGATTCAGGCCTTTGCTCGCTGTATAGAACCAGTCCAGTCTGCACATCTAAGCAGTTTCACTTGCCTCTATACTTTTTGGTAATTTTTAGCTCAACTTTTCCGAAAAATCCGGAGAGTTATTTTATTCACTCACTGTTATTAGCTCACCTGTCACAAAGTGACAGGGTGAGCTTTTGTGATCGCTTTTCGTCCGGCGTCCGTCCGTCGTCCGTCCGTCCGTCCGTCCGTAAACTTTTACTTTAAATGACATCTCCTCATAAACCACTAAGCCAATTTCATCCAAACTTCACAGGAATGTTCCTTTGGTGGTCACCTTTAAAAATTGTTCAAAGAATTTAATTCCATGCAGAACTCTGGTTGCCATGGCAACCGAAAGAAAAAACTTTAAATATCTTCTTTAAAAAAACCATAAGAGCTAGAGCTTAGATATTTGGCATGAAACATCTTCTAGTGAGTGTCTACCAAGTTTGTTCAAATAAAGCCCTGGGGTCAAAATTGGCCCCGCCCCGGGGGGTCATTGATTTTCCCTATATGCATATAGTAAAAACTTAAAAAATCTTCTTTTAAAGAACCAAAAGAGTTAAAGCTAAGATATTTTAGCATGAAACATGTTCTAATAAGTGTCTACCAAGTTTGTTCAAATAAAAAGCCCTGGGGTCAAAATTGGCCCCGCCCCGGGGGGGTCATTGATTTTCCCTATATGCATATACTAAAAAACTTAAAAAATCTTCTTTTAAAGAACCAAAAGAGCTAGAGCTTAGATTTTTAGCATGAAACATGTTCTAATAGGTGTCTACCAAGTTTGTTCAAATAAAAGCCCTGGGGTCAAAAAATTGGCCCCGCCCCAGGGGGGGTCATTGATTTTCCCTATATGCATATAGTAAAAACTTAAGAAATCTTCTTTTAAAGAGAACCAAAAGAGCTAGAGCTAAGATATTTAGCATGAAACATGTTCTAATGGATGTCTACCAAGTTTGTTCAAATAAAAGCCCCGGGGTCAAAATTGGCCCCACCCCAGGGGGTCATTGATTTTCCCTATATGCATATAGTAAAAACTTAAAAAATCTTCTTTTAAAGAACCAAAAGAGTTAAAGCTAAGATATGTAGCATGAAACATGTTCTAATAAGTGTCTACCAAGTTTGTTCAAATAAAAGCCCTGGGGTCAAAATTGGCCCCGCCCCGGGGATCATTGATTTTCCCTATATGCATATAGTAAAAACTTAAAAAGTCTTCTTTTAAAGAACTCAAAGAGCTATGGCTAAGATATGTAGCATCAAACATGTTCTAATAAGTGTCTACAAAGTTTGTTCAAATAAAAGACCTGGGGTCAAAATTGGCCCCGCCCCGGGGGTCATTGATTTTCTTTATATGTGTATAGCAAAAACTTAAAAATCTTCTTTGAAAAAACCCAAATTATTTTTAGCTAGAGTTTAGATATTAAGCATGAAACATCTTCTAGTAAGTGTCTACAAAGTTTGTTCAAATAAAAGCCCTGGGGTCAAAACTGGCCCGCCCCAGGGGTGTCATTGTTTTTAACTATATGTGTATAGTAAAAACTTTAAAAAAATCTTCTTTCAATAAAGCCCAATGAGCTAGAGCTTAGATGTTTAGCATGAATTGGCCCTGCAAGGTTGGGGGGGGGGGGGCCTATATACAGGTGAGCGACCTCAGGGCCATCATGGCCCTCTTGTTGACCTTTTTGATGTGAATAATGGTATCTCCAAAAGTACTCAACGGAATGAATGGCAACTTATTTGAGGCCACTGACAGTGACCAAGGTCCGTAATTTAGATTTTGACAGAATTTTTTCTCTTGTTAGAAAATTCTACATTATCCATGCTCTTGTTCTAAGAATAGTCTACAGACAGCTCTTGTTTCTTTTGTGGGTTTTAAAAGGTATATCAGTTTTTATTTTGTTTTTGAAAACTCTTCAAAATTCAAAAGAACTGTTCTTAATGCAAGACTGAGCAATTCCATTACACAAATTTTGCAGGTTAAGTGGTAAAATATTTCAAGTTGACTAAAAGGGACTTGAGACATATAAAGATAAAAAGTATGTACAGAAGCCAAAAAAGAAACATAGCCACTTATAATTAATCTAGGGAAGATCTATTGATTATATTAAAATCATATCAATTAAGCAAAAAGTAAACTGTCTGTTTTATAGCTTACATTTAGATACTCCTGTCCCATTGAAATATGGCTGTTTATTGGCTTTCAAAAAAAATAAATTCCTTAAGTAGAGTTAATATGGATAGTGTCTGATAATAACATATTGGTTTAATTTTTTAGCTCACCTGACCACGAAATGGTCATGGTTAGGTATAGTAATGGGGCTATCTGGCATCATGATTTGCAAGTCGTCAACAATTGGGGTTGTTAACACTCTAGCAGTCACAGTTTTGATTGGATAATCATCAAACTTTGTCAGATTGTTTGTCTCAATGAAATACAGGTCAAGCCTGAATATGGCTCATCTCGGTGAAAAACTAGGTCACAGTAGCTAAAAATAGAAAAATCTTGTTAACACTCTAGAGGCTGCAGTTTTGATTCAAATATACTGGAAATTGGTCAGGAAGGTTGTTTTGATGATTTCTAGGTCAAGTTCGTATATGGGTCATCTCTGGTCAAAAACTAGGTCACAGGAGCTAGAAATAAAAAATTTTGTAAACTCTAGTGGCTGCTGTTTTGATCCAAATATCCTGGAAATTGGTCTGCAAATTTGTTTTGATGATTTTTAGGTTAAGTTCTAATATGGGTCACATGGGATCAAAAACTAGGTCACACTGCCAAAATATTGATTAACCTTGTTAACTCTCTAGAGTTTACATTATTGACTTATTTTTCATCAAACTTGGTCAGGATACTTGTCTAAGTAATTGCTCGGATGAGTTCGATGGGTCAGGTGAGCGATCTAGGGCTATCTTGGCCCTCTTGTTTTTTGTTCATGAAAATACACCTTTTTTATTTATATATGTAAGACATGAAGTGAAATATTTTAGGGTAATTAAGCAATAACAAAGCATTTGACAGTGATTATCTTTCATTTAACTCGAAAGAACTTCTGATGATTTTATTGTTTACATACAGGGACACGATGTTACAGGCATTAAGGTTTTGTTTAATGGGTGCCGGAGGGAAAATGTCAGCAGGTAATCGTAAACAACTGACGCCTACACTAACTGACATGATGGGATGTACTGATGACTCAACACGTATGGTGGCATCTGGATGTGTCGGTGTACTGTGTTTGTCCCTGACCGATGATGAACTAACAGATATTTTATCTCAACAGTTACTTGGTATGTCCGTAGATATATGATACTGTTTGAATGATTGTTGTATAAAAAGGGTCTTGTTTATTATAGTGTCACCCATACTGAAAGGGCCAGCCAATTCTTACTTATGAGACACCTTTCACTGGCATACCATGTACCTCCCAATCTCTACCACTATAATATGCCAGGTGCCATTAGGATAGAAACCTGTAACCATTCATTTTAACTACCTCGCAGCTCACGAAGCGGCCATTTCGGAACAAGTTGCATGAGAAACATTCATCCTCAGCTTAACACTCTATATGGGGCTCGATTCTTCTACCTACCTTTCCATAGGTAGATGCCTTAACCACTAGGCCACTGATATTTAATGATTTTTATATTGAAATTCCATGACTGGATTCATCATCATGTGGTTAAGGTAGTAGACTCCAACCACTTGTCTCTCACCACTGTTAGTTTTAAGCCCGACAGGGACTTTGGTTTCTTACATGTGATGAAGCTATCAAGCAAGCTAGAGGAATGTCGGTGGTTCTACTCAGGACTGGTGCCTGTTTGTGCTTGAAATAATGCATGGAGGGGCACCTGAAATTTCTCCACAAGTAAAGCTGGAAAGTATCCATATGACGTAAACTGTGTTGGTGCATTGTGGAGAAATTGGTAATTACAGGTTAGTTATCCAATTAAGCAATTTAGTTATCCAATTAAGCCAATTAGTTATCCAGTTAAGCCAATTAGTTATCCAATTAAGCAATTTAGTTATCCAATTAAGCCAGTTATGTTGATTGACCACTGAGATAAGACTAAAAATGTTTTAAGATCGGTTTAAGACTTTTGAAAACTCAAAAACAAAAACCAAAAAACTTACAAATATGTATATTACAATTATGTATTTGATGTAAAAATATTTGTTGTTTTTATTTGATGAACAATTAGATACAAGCTCGTCAGTAGACTGGACGTTAAGACATGGTAGAGGGACAGCATTAAGTATAGCAATAAAAGAGGCACCAGACAAAATATGGACCGGAAGGTCGGATAATGTTAGAAAAACCGTAATTAGTCTAACTGAAGCTGATAGAGTAAGTATTGGTTCCATTTATTTCTCAACACAGCATATTTAACAATTATTTTGTTAAAGACTATCTTTTTTCTGTGTTACATGACGATATTGTCTCAGTGCACCATTTAGAAAAACACAACGAAAAACTGTTATGAAACTGTTATTTTTGCTATTATTTTGTTACTTTTCAACACAGTAATAACATCTTTGACTAAATTACTTTGTTCAAAACTATCTTTTACCTGTGTTTACCTTTGTGTCTCAGTGTGCCACTTAACTTAAACTTAACGAAAACCCAGCAATAGCGGACATTAATCTAGAACACTGAAAAGACAGCCTATAGTCTTTGAGTAAAGTCAGGTCCCTTTAGTCTAGAGTGAGGACCCTATTGTCTAGATTAAAGTGAGGTCTGTCTAGTGTAGAGTAAAGTGAAGGTGACCTGTTTTATTTGTTTATATTTGAATGATTCATTGTTACCAAGGTTATATATACCATTTAGCAGGTACAAGCTGGGATAAGTACAATATTGACAAGTTATTACACAATCACAGTGTTACTTTGATATCATTTAAAAAGGTCACCAGCATTTCTTATGTTCTTTGATCAACCAGCTATACCGTTAGAACTCGGCCATAAAATCAAGTATATTACAGTATTATATCATTGTTTACAAGAAATGTTCTGCAACATTAAGTGTAACCGTGAATGGCGGCATATGTTGTATGAAGGTTTATTGCTTTATCCAACTTAATTACCCTGTATTAAAATGCCAATAAACTGAACTTGCCTCCTAGGAAGCAAAAAATTAACGGCACTTGAATGTCTAGCTACTTGTCCCGTCTACACAGATCAGTGAATGAGACCAGGAATACTCCCACAGACAAGCTCTCAAATTTTACGTTAATCACTAATTAGTTTGTATTAATTAGATCGTCTAATTGTTTCATTGATTAATTTGTTTATATATTTACGTTTCAGATACCTTTATGTACAAGTGGTTACAGATGCCTAGGTTATTTATTAAGCTATCTTATAAAACAAAATGAAATAGAGAAAGACCTAATCTCTTCACTAATGAAGGTAATTATTTTAACACATACATTAGGATGTATTTATCATTCAGGACAACCTGTTAGTTGATAGTCCGTTTTAATGCACAAAATTCTTTTTTTTGGGGGGGGGGGGGGGGGGGGGTTGCATATAGGTTTTACCTTGTCCATCCATAGATTGGCAAAACAGTGAAATGTGGGGCATCAATTTTCTATGTTTAATCAGTATTGATCAAGTAAGGCTAGTCTGTCAGGGTATATATAAAGGCTTATTGCATATGATTTATTTATAGTATCGTCCAGTTTGTTCAATTGATAAAAGCTCTTGACTGTAAATTGGGTGATTCTGAATCGATTCCTAGACGGTGCAGGCCACTTTCATTGATAAAGAAATCCTTCTTATGGTCATTCACTTGGTACTTCTGCTCTTGCATGTACAAAAGATATCAGTTACTTTTGAAAGTGAAGGCATTTAGATCTGGTAAATTGTTTGACAGCCTGCCCAGAAACGATGGCTGAACTGTCGTCTGGTAAATTTAATGTGACTCACTGCCATGATCCGGAGTGAAAAGTACCAATTACCATAATGTGATGTATTTATCATTTATGTTAATGTGTAAGAAGTATTATTCTTAGTAAAAAAAAGCTTGTTGTGCATGCTCTTTGTTAATTATATCCCCACAAACAAACTTTGGGGGGAGAGTATATAAGAGACCGCTTGTCGGTTGGTCGGTCCATCTTTCTGTCCACATCATGGTTTCCGGACGATAACTAGAGTTTGAAATGAGGTATTGTTAACGAACTTGGTATATAGCAACCTTATGTGGAAACCCCGGTTGGTATTGCATTTGGACCCCTTGAGGTCATGGTCATTGTTACTGAAAATGGTTTCCAGACAGTAACTAAAGTTAGGAATGAGATATTATAACTTGATTTATAGCAAGTTTATATGAAGATCCTGGTTGAGATTGCAATTGATTAAAATAATTCTTTGTACACAGTTAATACTTACTATAGGTAGAGTTCAAATATTTTTTGTTAGACTACTTATTTTTCAAAAAAGTCAAAAGTTGCTGGTAGGGGTATTAATCACCTTCAGTGATAGGTTTAGTTAATTTTGTAGAATAATTTACTCCTGACAAATTATCCCGAATGACATAGAGGATATTAATGTTTTTTCTATAAATACGATTTATTTTCATCGAGTGGTATGAAAATAAATATTTCATGAGTGGCGGTAGCCACAAGTGAAATATGGTAATTTTCATGCCACAAGATGAAAATAAATCATGTATTTATATAAAAAACTTGAATTTTCTGTTTATTATGTACATTTTTCTCTTTTTTGCGATAAAATTTGAAAAATTTTCCCTTAAATTTTGTGTACTGGTAGAATTTAAAAGAAAGTAGTCCGGCAAGACACCAGTGAAAATACGGGAAATATGTTTCACTGCAGTGAAAAATAAATTTTTACAGTGAAAATACGGAAAATGAAAATACGCATTTTATTTCATCAATATTTCTCAATATTTCATTTATAAGTATATAATAAAATTATATATTGTTTAAATACAAGTTTATCTGAATGATAAAAATACTTACCTGTAGAACTTAACTTTCTATAAATACCACTGTTTGTAGTGTAGTTGTATGATCTATTTATAGATAGATGTTGTATATTTATAAATGTTTATATTGGGATGAAACAAACCCATTATATTAGATGGTACAAAAACAGAAACGTAGTAGTTTTATTTTTGGCTGCTGTTTTTGATGTTGAAGTGATGTGAGTAGATCAGATGTGTAGTAATTATCTTGTTAATGGTGCTCTGGAACAAATTAACACTAGGAAACTGATGTATTTAGAAGTGAAGTGTTTATTTTCTGAATGACATTGAGTGTGTGATTGAACTAGTTGTTGAAATGATTAAATAATGAATTTTACTTTTAAAAAATTTTTTTTAGTAATTTTTTTACAAGATTATTACAAGAGACACCTGTAATGTATTTATGTTATCGAGCTAGCATACAAAAGGTTGGTGGTTTAACTCTTGAACTTGAAAAATAACATTGGAAGGGCACCTGTAAAAACAGAAAGGTTTATGAAATATTTCATACATGATTTATAATTGAATTTCATTCTGTAATTTTTTTAACACTTATCTTGCTGATCTTATGTAATGAACTTGTCCTGTTTAAATCACTTGCCCCACAAGTCTAGGTTGGAATCTCGAAAGGGACTTTGGATTGTTTCTTTTCTATCCAGCTATCTTACAGAAAGTTGGTGGTTCTACTCAGGTGCCCGTTTGTGCCTGAAATAATGCACTGAAGGGCACCTGAGATCTCCCTCTACCAGTAAAGCTGGAACATCGCCATATTACCTATACTGTGTGGGAGTGATATAAAAATCAAACAAACAAACTTGTCCTGTATTTAGTTCTGAATTGTCCATTGGTAGTTTTTAGCTCGGCTATTCAAAGCATTGGGTACACTCTTGTACTCACCCAAGCGCCTGCATGACACTTTGGTGCATATTGGTTTTTCAAAACTACTGAAGGTAATGGGTTTAAACTTGACATGTATATTTGAGAGCATAATAGGAGGTCACTATTCAAGGCCCAGAACTCTGACATGGATTTTAACAGGATTCTGGCCCATTTTGTGAATAGTTGAGCATGCTGTCCTGTTGGATTTCAGTATCAGATAGATTGGTAATCAATTTTTCATTGTGATCACGCAGCTAAAAAATGTAACCAGTTGAATGACATAATACTTGTGCTACATTATATAGTTAAGTGATATTTTATTCCCTGTATTTTACAGCCGAATAAAGACTTTTTCCCTTTGCCAAAAATAGGTATATTTTCCCCCTTAAAATGCTAACATTTTCCCCTGGGCACTTCCTCACAAGAACCATGATGTAATAGCATCTGACTTCTATAAAATTTGTGGGTAAAATCTTTTAAACATGATTACAGTTGTGTGTAAAAATTCTTAACTTTTGTTTCCAGGGTTTAAAACATGATTCAAATGACATAAAACAAATGATCGGACAGATTGTGTCTTATATAATGTCAAAAACCACTGAGCCGTTAGACCCTGCAGTATGTAAAATGATGGTCTCACCACTGGTTATGGGAACGAAGGAGAAGAACACCGTAGTACGAACTAACTCGGAACATGCATTAGTCTCTCTACTACAACTTAGAAAAAGCGATTCTTATTATAAGGTGAGTTTTTGTTTCATACAAGTAAAAACGTATTTGATGAAAATGACAATTACTTTTCTAATAGTTTTACTATGCTTCATTTTAGTTGTCATTAAAGTTATTATTAAGTAACAATAACAAGTAAGAAATTGGCAATAAATGATTCTGAATTTATTGAACTAGTTGAATAAAATCATGTTAGCATCTGGAGGGCAATGTTATTGTGTCGCCTCTACGGAGTAGTGGCGACATATAGGGATCACTTCTCCGTCGTCTGTCTGTCTGTCTGTCCGTCAGTCCGTCACAAAACTTGTCCGGACTACTGCTCATAAACTACTGGTGCAATTTCATCCAAACTTTACAGGAATGATCAGTACCAAGTCTAGTTGTGCATATTGTCAGCATTTTCCTGTTCAGTGATTTTTGTCAGAGTTATGGCCCTTTAATAATTTTTAATTTTAAAGTTTGTCCGGACTACTTCTCTTATACCACTAATGCAATTTCAATGAAACTTTACAGGATTGATCTATAGCTCAAGTCCTTGCGCATATTGCACGGGTTTTCCGGTTGAATGATTTTTGGCCGAGTTATGGCCCTTTGACATAAAGGTGTTTTTTTCTGTGTGTTGCCAGATACACAAAAGCTTGTCCGGACTACTCCTCATAAACTACTGGTGCAATTTCATTCAAACTTTACAGGAATGATCAGTACCAAGTTTAGTTGTGCATATTGTCAGCATTTTCCGGTTCAGTGATTTTTGTCAGTTATGGCCCTTTAATAATTTTTAGCTCGACTATTCGATAAGAATAAGTAGAGCTATTGCAGTCACCCGAGCGTCGGCGTAACCACTTATGTTAAAGTTTTTGTAATAGTTAAAATATTTTCAAAGTCCATTGACATATGGCTTTGAAACTTTGCACACTTGTTCACCATCATGACCCCAATCTGTAGACAGGAGGAGGTAACTCTATCAAGCATTTTGACAGAATTATGCCCCTTTTTCGACTTAGAATTTGCGTTAAAGTTTTTGTAATAGTTCAAATATTTTCCAAGTCCATTGACATATGGCTTTGAAACTTTGCATACTTGTTCACCATCATGATCCCAACCTGTAGACAGGAGGAGGTAACTCTATCAAGCATTTTGACAGAATTATGCCCCTTTTTCGACTTAGAATTTACGTTAAAGTTTTTGTAATAGTTCAAATATTTTCAAAGTCCATTGACATATGGCTTTGAAACTTTGCACACTTGTTCACCATCATGACCCCAACCTGTAAACAGGAGGAAGTAACTCTATCAAGCATTTTTTTTACTATCAAGCACTAAGAATAGTCGAGCGTTGCTGTCCTACCGACAGCTCTTGTTATTTTTAAAGTTTGTCCGGACTACTTCTCTTATACCACTAATGCAATTTCAATGAAACTTTACAGGATTGATCTGTAGCTCAAGTCCTTGCGCATATTGCACGGGTTTTCTGGTTGAATGATTTTTGGCCGAGTTATGGCCCTTTGATAAAAAGGTCTTTTTTTCTGTGTGTTGCCAGATACGCAAAAGCTTGTCTGGACTACTCCTCATAAACTACTGGTGCAATTTTATCCAAACTTTACAGGAATGATCAGTACCAAGTCTAGTTGTGCACTGTCCGTCTGTCTGTCTGTCTGTCAGTCACAAAATTTGTACCAACATGAAATTGGCCATCATGAGGCGACACGTGATTACTGATCGCTTTTGTTTTTTTTACCAAGTTCACTAAATAAAGTAGTGAAGCTACACAAATATAATATCCTATTTATCACATATCCAAATCACTTTTTAATTGACTGTGTAATTCTAACATTTAGCAAGTCTTTATGCTATGTTTGTTTAATGCAAATGAGTTGTATTAAAATAAATGTTGGCTGCGCAGTATTATTTTTACGACGAAAGTATGTAATCAAATTATAATATGATATTTCTATATATTGCAGACTGTGATTGCGATGTTAGACTCTGGTATGCAGGACTCTGTACAAGAAGTTATGACAAAATCACTGAGAAAAATCGCAAGTCAACCAGAATCCCCAACAGATCAAATGGATGACACTATTCTTGTATAGCAGGACTTTAAATATGACTTAGTACATAAATTATTTGACATTTATAAATAAATTATTTTAATTATCCTATAGACAGATAAAGATTTCATTCAAGTTTCCAGAGTTTTTTAGATTGAAAATTGTGGTTTGTGACAAAGAACTTTTTTCACAGTTCTGAAGGTGTGTAATTATGCCGACTCGGATATTTGAAAATATTTGTGACTTTATTTGTGAAAAATGAATCAAGAATACATGAACATTAGAATGATTAATGCTCATTTACCAGTTTCATTCATGTAAAACATTAAAAATAGGCAAAGCATTGAACAGTGGTCATCTGATTACACAAAAACACTTGCATTGAATTATCTGTGTAAGTTAACGTAAAAATAGGTAGAAAGATATCCAATTACCACAAAAGTATAAGCAATATTTTTCTGATTTGCTCACAAATATGTTAGTGTAGTTAACACTATAAGAATTATTTTTCCTGCTTGTAAGATTTATTTGTGAAGGCAGACTTACTAAATTTAAGACAAACTTGCTATAATTGAATATACATGTAAATGAAGTTATTCTTCATATTTGTCGTAATGTTTTTCTCAAAATTATTGCTGTGAAATTTCCTTATATTGACAGTGTATTAAATGTAAACTAAAGGGGGGGGGGGATAATTATTTTTTATTTTGGGGGGGCTACATTTTTTCTTGTTATATATTTTTCTGGGGATCCTTGATTAATCAAAACCAAGCTTGCAAGAGTAAGGATAGTTCGTGGCCTAGTGGTTTAGCTCATTGATTTCAAATCACTTACCCGTCACTGCTGTGGACTTGAATCCAAGGACTTTGGAAGCTTTCATGTAAGGTATCCAGCTAGCTTATGGGACATTGGTTGTTCTATTGAGGTGCCCTTTTGTGCTTGCTTGGAAGAATGCTTGGAAGGGCACCTGAGGTCTTCTGCTAACATTAAAGCTGGAAAGTCACCATATGACCTATACTGTGATGGTGTGACATACAACTTGGCCAACCAAGATAGAAAGATTAAATTTCTTTTGTGATGGTCAACCTTAAAGGTTCCCACTTTAACTGTTATATTATTACCTTACTACATTGTTATACCTTTTGTGTTGCTCTATACTGTATAATTTATCTTAATATCAATATATATATATAAGATCCAATTTATGCCAGTTCCCATATGCCACAAAGCAACTGGTAATTTCAACTGACAACTAAGAAAGCTAATACCTGTAATGTAAGACTTCATTTTAAAATCACAAAGTGTTAGCTTTGTCTCAGATAAAAATATTCAGAATTATATACTAGGATATTCTTTAAGAATATTAATTTTTATTTGATTATCAAAGTATACTGTTTGATACAAATAAATCAAATATGCAACCTATTTTATAGTGCTGTATCAAAAAATAAGTACATGTACATGCAATTTCTATCTTGTCTGTTTTGTTCACCCCATTAAACCATGACCCCACTGATAAATTTAAATAGACTTGGCCTTATGGACAAAAACCATTCCTTTTAAGTGGAAAATTTCAGAAAATGTATTGACTTAAATAGCAACTAGTGCAGATGGCTTGTATGTACCTGATGATTTTAGTCACATTCAACACATTTATCACATGGGTACATTCAGTTGCAGCCAGGAGGCGAAGAAATAATTTTGTGACCATAAGACTCTTTCTCAATTTGAATGAGAATCTTATTCAGATGTATTGAAATTTCACCATGACCGTTGTATGACATAACCTGTAAGGTCAAATCTTCAAAAATCTTTCTGTTGTTCATCTCTAACATGCATTATAGTCATGTCTTGTTAAATCTTGGGTATTTTCCTCTCAACACAAGAATGGTCATAAATTTTTCCCTTTTGTATGAGATATATATATATATATACATGTGCAATGTATGTATATATATTGCTGGTTTTATTGTTATTTTGATAATTACATGTATTAAAGCATGATAGTGCTCTTGTATTTCATTTGCCATACTGTTTGATGTACATGTATATCTGTAAACCGTCAGATATATATATTTATAATACCGGTATATTATGTGTCTATAGTTTGGACTTAGTTAGGTTGCTTACATGTATATTGCATACATGTTGTATCTATTCTGTATGTTTTATCTGTGACAAGGACTGTTTAAAGGGTATTAAGCTATAGCTGATGCAATATCTTGTAATCTAAAAAAAATAATAATTCAAAAACTGTACAATCACGCTGACTTATAAACAGTTGTATCATTTCTGCAAAAAGTTTTGTTAATTAACACACATGTAAGGTACATGTATTACTTTTCAAGTTATACAACTTATGTTTTAACTACGGTTTAGTAATGATGACAATTTAAAAACGTCCATTTTTTTCTCAAATTTTAAAACATTTTTTTTATCATATCGCACTTTAAGTATGATTGTGATAATTAAAAAAAATAAATTTCACTATTTAAAAAAAAATCGTGCAACATGACCCAAAAATACATTTTATCTCAAATCTGACTAAGATTTGCAGTTTCAATCAAATTTTGAGTAAATATCTATATTTTCTTTACTAGCATGTTTTAACTTTTTAATGCCCCAGGTATTCTAAGTAAGAATTTCAAAATTAAGTGATGCACTTATACCCTTATTATTTGCATGTAAATATTTTTGCAAAAATGCTCTGTTCAGTTTTTATTTTAAACTTTTGTTGTTTCAATGATATTTGAGAAAAGTCATTGGAGCTGATATAAACTCTTGATAGGTTTTTAATTTAACGGCATACCAAATATGCCTGTGGAAATGTATATGTAAAAACTGCAAATTCTTCTTGATAATATTTCCATTTTCTTGCATACATACAATGTATAACATAATAAACTTGTATAAATATATACAATGTTTTAAAATCAGTTAAGATAATCTAAATTTATAGTAGGTTACCGTAAAAATATAATAACACTAGCTATAAAAGCTTTTTTCTGACATAAATATATAAAAATAAGTTATATATAATCCATTTAGTTTGGTTCTGTATTTGCATGATTTTATGCTTGCGTTGCGAGAAAAGTATGTCAATTATTGTGTGTTAAACTTAATATTTAACTGGTTTCTGGAACTGTAAACAAATGATTAAAATCGAAATAAAATCGTTTACATTTCAATTAAGTGTTGCTATCTCTAATAAGCCCGACTTTGGTATCTTAAAGCAATCTATCATACTAATAGTTTTTAGTGACGTTTTGTTCATATCCAGTGAATTATTGAATATGAAATAAAGAACAAACGTATCGGACTATACGTAGTGTTGAAGTAATGTTCTATGCATTTCACCACCAAACTGCATGTTTTTATTGGACATATGAATAAATCCTCAAATTTTGTCAAGGTTGTTCAACCCAACTCCTTTTGTGTTTCTCGGATATTGGCTTTAATGGCCATTGGTCTCTCACCACTGATTCACAAATCATGGGATAGGTGCTCCATTATTTGCCGAGAAATTAATATATAATTTTTAGTTACTATTAGGTTATTCAGATAGGTATATATGACCAAAATAAGTTATTCAGATAGGTATATTATGACCAAAAAAATTTATTGTTGAAATGGGCTAAAAAGACAAAAAATTTATAAATGCAAAATTAGACCTTGTCCCAGGCCCAAGGGAAATTTAACAACTAATTATTTAGTAAATGTAATCAACCAGTATGTTAAAACATGTTGGAATTGTTACATCCCATCCTCCTTGTATAGAAGGTCCAAAACTGCCAGAATTATAAATTGGAAACTCACATTTCCCCCGCTATAATCTAGTCAATCATTTTGAAGTGGAACCTAATGATTTTCATGGAATATTGTTGTCCATTTGAAATGGGAAAAAGTGGCCAAAGTCTGTAAAGCAAGAACTACAATTTCTAAAAATAGAAAAATTATATAGCTTGACCAAACAGGACCAAATATGGCTTACAAATAGGAAAAACGTTTTGCATGGCACATTCTTTACGTTTTGAAACAAATTCCCAAATGATTGACTTAATGTAGAAAACAGTTCCATAGGTTTCAATTATTTGCACAGAGATTACACGTGAAAATCTATTTTTTAAATCTAAAAGACCCTTAGGGGAAAGTCGGGGGTTCTACGAAACATGAAAAAATAGAAAATACTAATAATTTTGAAGTTGGGGTCTGAGTTAAAACCTCCAAAAACCCCTAAAAAAAAGGGGCCCACAACATTTTTCAGGGGGAAAAATAACAGATATTTTAGAAATATCAAACAAAAGCTATTTGGAAAATTTAAATCCATTGTTATAATAACACCCTTTGTCGGGAAAAACAACAAAAATCGTTTTTTGGCTTTAAAAAATTTAAATTCAAAAATTTCCCAAAAACTAAAACAGACTTTTTATTTGGTTTTCCAATTTTTAAAAAAGGAAGGGTTTTTCCGGGGCAAAAGGGTGTCGTTTGAAAACCCCAATGCCCGAACATTTTTTTTTTCATTCACTATTAAAAAAGAAAGTTTCTAAAAGCCTTTTTAAAAAGCAAATAAGAAAAAAAAACTAACTTGTGTGAGCTGTTCTATGAAATATCATTTATAAAAACAAAACAAATTAAGGACGTGTTGGGGAGTTTTCATTTAGACATATAGGCAAAATTAAAAATGTTCTTTGGAATTTCTTTAAACTTGGCATGTTGTTAGAATATGATAACAAAGACATTTTAAAAATTGGGGTCACCGTTCTCGTTTTTAGCTCACTAGAGCCGAAGGCTCAGGGTGAGCTATTAGTATCAAAGGGAGATGCTCCGGTATCCGTCGTCCGTCGTCATGCATCAACAAGCGTCTACTTCTCTGAAACTACAAAGCAGATTTACTTCAAATTTGGTCTGTAGCATCCTTGTGACAGTCACACTTGGATTTGCTCATGTCATTCAAATTGGCCCATTTTAGGGGTCAGCAGAGCTAAAAATAGAAAAACCTTTAAACATCTTCTTCTACAGAACTAATTGATGGGTGATCACCAAACTTTGACTGTAGCATTTGTAGGTAGTATTTTATCAAATTTGCTAATACATGTATCATTTTGATTGACCCCTTTTAGGGGTCACTAGGGCTAAAAATAGAAAACCTTTACACATCTTTTTTACAGTACTAATGGATGGATGACCACCAAACTTTGTCTGTAGCATTGTTGGGTAGTGTTTTATCAAGTTTGCACATATGAATTGGATTGGCCTCTTTAAGGGCCGCTTAAGCTATAAATAGAAATACCTTGAAATGTCTATTTCTAGGGAAATTATTGATGGATGATCACCAAACTTTGTCTGCAGCATTCTAAGGTAGTATTTTATCAAGTTTGCTAATATTATTTTGATTGGCCTCTTTTAGGGGTCACTAGGGCTAAAAATAGAAAAACCTTTTAACATCTTCTTCTTCAGAACTAATTGATGGATGATCACCAAACTTTGTATGTAGTATTCTTGGGTAGTCTTCTATCAAGTTTGCTCATATAAATTTGATTTGCCCCTTTAAGGGGCCGCTTAAGCTGAAAATAGAAATACATTTAAACATCTTCTTCTACAGAACTAATGGATGGATGATGGCCAAACTTTGTCTGTAACATTCTCGGTTAGTGTTTATTAAGTTTGC